ACAAAAATTTAATCGGAGTGAAATTATTGATTTGCGGTTACTTATTTAATTAGACTTACCTCGATATATCCGCGACATGCAGAGGACACATTCATTCATCATTCTCTTTTTGCTCGCGGTGCTCTCCGCTTGCTGTTTGGCCGTCAACCAGACCACCTTCGTGAATACCACGAAAACAACACTTAAAATTCTTGGTGTCTTTGGATATCCTGGTAAAAGTCATTTCGACGTGTTCAAGCCGCTTCTGGAGGAACTAGCCCGAAGAGGTCACGAGGTTACTGTGCTCTCGTACTTCCCTAGAAGCGACAGTGTCAAGGCAAAAGAGCCGCTGCCCAATTATAAGGATGTCAATTTAACAAATCCCAAGGACGGCGTCTTCGTAGAAGTGATCGATCTCAAACAGATTAATCACGCGTGGTATCGTTTTCTGTTAGAGATCCACCTGCTGAGATCCATGGCAGATTACGCGTGTAACACCGGTCTGCGGACTCCAGCTGTGAAAGAATTCCTTCGATCCAACGAAAAATTCGATCTGATTCTCACGGAGAACTTCAACACCGATTGCTTTTTGGGTTTTGTTCATCGCTTTAAGGCACCGTACATGGCTCTGTCGTCGCATCAAATTATGCCGTGGACCAACAGCGATATGGACAACTCAAACGATCCCAGTTACATCCCGGTTATATTCATCGGCTTCGTTAAACCTATGAATTTTCTCAGGCGAATGCAAAATACACTGTTGGTGTCGTTGTCTGAAGTGATCTACGATTATTGGTTCCGAGCTGTCGATCAGGTCACCGCTAACGAAGTCTTCGGTCCGGATCTTCCCAAGCTGGAAGAAATCGCCCAGCAGTCGCAAGCGTTGCTAGTGAACACTCACAGTAGCATTCACGGCAGCCGACCGCAGCTGCCGAATGTAGTGGAAATTGGTGGGCTCCACATCTCGTCCAAGGTCAACCCGCTGCCGAAGGACATAGCTGAATTCCTCGACGGCGCAGACGAAGGGGTGCTGTACTTCAGTTTGGGCTCCATGATCAAGATGACTTCGATGCCACTCGAGAAGCTCGACGCGATATTAAAGGTACTTGGCTCGATACCGCGGAAAGTGCTTTGGAAATGGGAGGCTGATGAATTACCGCACAAGCTGGACAACGTTATGGCCAGGAAATGGCTGCCCCAGTTCGACGTGATGAGTAAGTGAAAGGATGAACGTTCTTTTCTTTTTTTTTTTACCTGCTCAAGGCCGAGTCGTTGTATTAGGCATCAATTGGATTCTGACAATGAGTTAACCATAAGATAACTTTTTAAATTATTTTTTAACTATTGACTATTATTACGTTTCTTTTTTTTTTTTTCATGTGTTCAAGGCCGAGTCGTTATATTAGGCATCGATGAGTTAACCATAAGATAACTTTTTTAACTATTTTTTAACTATTGACTATTATTATGTTTTTTTTTATTTTCATATGTTCAAGGCCGAGTCGTTATATTAAGCGTCGATTGGATTCTAGCAATGAGTTATCCAGAAACCATAAGATAACCATTTTTTATCCACTGACTATTACAATGGAGAGAAAGTTTAAGTAATTTTTTTTTCATAGTCTTAATAATTTAACGTAAAAAATATTTTTTTTTCGTTTCTTGTTGAAGAAAGTAGCAACAGTTTATATTGCGTTTTTTAATCTATTGCATAATAAACGGTATCATTTATTAGAATTAAAACAAATTATAAATCAACATACTAAAACTCTCGACAATTAAAACAAATACAAATAATTTAAAAAAAGGCTATGGTAACACGCTGTCCATTAATTATGTCTCGACTTATTCAATTTTTTAAGAAATTGAACTGACTTGCTTTTTATATTTCTATTTTTTTTATGTATACTGTTAATTTTGTATTCATTGAGAATGTAAGTTACAATGTATGCCGAGGCATTCGATTTTTTTAAACTATGTACTTAATTTTAAATATTTTTATTATGTAACTGATGTACCTTTGTTAATCTGCACCGCGCCAACTCACATAGCATTTTTTCTAATTATTTATATTTATTTTCATTAGAATTAAGTTGACAAGTACTATGATAAACGGGAATTGAAAATCCACAAAACGTAAAAATGACGATAAATGAAATATCTCGGTAAACTTGATTGAAATATAATCTCAATAAAATTGATGTAATGCCACTAATTAATTGTGGCATTACATCAATATTATAATTTCCCACTCAACAATATAAGTGTAGCATAGCACATCCAAAAAATGAATAGTTTACGAGATATTTTACATTTCCTATCCAATATACCAAAAAAGTATAAAATATCTTAAACTATTCATTTTTTGACAATTCTACTTTAATATTTTTACTATACAGAATAATTAGAAGAATCACGCTAAGTTAAAATATTATATAATTATATATTAAAAAATTGCGATGATTTACTTTATGTGACTTACAAAATCAATTTTTAAAATTTTTTTTCATTATTTATTCTCCTTTGAATCAACTATTGGTTTAATCGATAAATACAAAAAAAAACATGTAATTAAATTACAAATTGTATTTATTTAAAATTTTTATATTAAAAAAGTATTCATTCATATATTTATTCTCGAAAAACTTTGGGTTTTCAAAAATATTTATTAATTACTACTTTGTAATTATTTTATCAGTATTCATATTCATTTAAAACAAAATGTCGATTAAAAAACAAAGTTTCAATAAGTAACCGTTAGCCCTTAATGTCCTTAATTATAACCAGCACTTTAATGATTCTTAGATCATTAGATAATACATTAGATAATACATATTATTAGATATTGTTTTTGAAGTCTCTAATTGAAAAAATAACACAATTATTATAATGTCTTCTACTCATTTTACTGATTTTCCTTTTTAAATATTGTTTTTTCGGACATAATTATAGTTAGGATTGAAGAATTGAATATTATACTGATTCTTTGCCGATTTTATTTTTTTTTAAATTTCAGTTTATTCTATACTTGCA